GAAGAGCGTAAGTTTGACTCAAATGCCAAAAGCAAGTTATGATTTGATTGGGCTAATTTAGAATCTCTGGACAAACCACATTTTTAATACATGTAACAAAACCTTCTCCTGCAAGGCCAAATAATTAATTACAAAGTTTCAAAATTTCACCCAAAAAAAAATCTTAGGCAAAACAAAGATGGCAGATGTGTAGTGGTTGAAAGCGCATCGTTTTCCTCATTTCACTGTCGTCTTTACAATTGTTGGCAAATGAAAGTCTGAAATCGACGTGACGTTACAGCATTTCTAACTCACCCCACTAACAAAAGAGGAGGCAGAATCGCCCGAAAGGTTTTTCTCAAGGTCATGGAGGTCAGCATCCAGGAAAGAAGGGTCTTGGTTTGATCGGGCCATTTCGTATCATCATATCATCATTTAGGCCGTAGCCTCCACTCTCTGTCCTATGCTGTTCACCTACAATACTATATTATGTCTTTCCTTCTTTTACTCTACACATGCATTTACACTATACATGTCTACTAGGAAGGACTTCAAGGGCTAGGGCCGGGCGGCCCAGCCCTAACCCATTAACGTGCTGAGCCGGTACGGTTCGTAACAGTACTGTATTGATAAGTGTAATATCTTATTTAGGCTTCGTTTATTTCACCGATTTAAGTTTTCAGTTTTAGATTTTTACAGTAAAAAATTCTTAAAAAATATCACATCTAACTTTTTCTGCTACAGTGAAAAACTCTCAAAAAATATCACATCTCAACTCGAATTAAAAACTCGAATCTGCGAAGTAAACGAGGCCTTAATTGAAAGGATTTAAATGGATAATTTAATAATTTAATAAATAATTATTATTTATTTTTTCAATATTCTCTTCATCCTGCAAAACAACATAATCCTCTTCATTCAATGCTATGCTGCCTCACTTTAGGATTCATACCCGATTAATATGTTGCACAAAATCTTTGAAGTAAAATTGAATAAAATCTTTTTCGTTTTATTAGTAATTCTTGAAATTTCCAAAATGACGAAGAAATAGAGGGATATAACACTACTGATACCCTTAAAAAACAAGTCATTATCTTTTGTTTCAAGTCATTACTACCGACTTTAGAACATATTAGTAAGCAAAAAGGCATTTTGTCGTTGAAGCAATGAGATGCGTTACATCCTTGATTTCTTATCTTCACAATAAAGTGTGCCCATGTGATATCCCACCACCAAAATCTCAACAGTTCCGTCCAGTACCCACCCACCCCCGCCCACTACAGCGTAATGATCCATAATCCATCACATAAACAAATAGTGGAACGCCCTCTCCATTAGAAACTCCCAAAATGAAGCATAAAAGACAAAACCAATAAGTTTCTAACGCAATGATAAAGAAATCAACAAGGTGAAAATGAAATTCCGCAGCATATCGTCATTTTGTTGTGTTACAATTTTATTATCTACACCAAACATCATCCACCACCGTCCGTTCAAGTATCCACCGTTAATCCCCATTAAAAGGGAACTAAAATTAACAATCACGATAAAGCGGAAATAATCCCAAAAAAAAAAAAAAAAAAAGATGAACAAATAAAAATCTACCGCAGGTTGAAAAGCTTCAGTCGTCGTCATCGTCGCCGGACTTGTGATGATTTACTTTTGCGACCCCACGCACGACGTTCGGCGCGTGGGGCGCGTCGATTACGGTCGCGGACGACATCTCCATCTGGCAAACCCTAACCGCGCCGACAAGCCTCTCCGGGAGCTCGTCCTCCGCCTGCGACTCCACCAGAAACCCCATATCGATCGTCACGCTCGTCACGTATCCCAACGCCAAGTGCAAAATCGCGCTCGCGATCGCAGAGCTCCCGATGTCGACGTCAATCTCCAGATAGTTCGGACCTCTATGGTAATTGCACGTCAAGGCCTTCCCAAGCAAACACGCGCTGTAATTCCCCACCGCCTTCTTCACGATCCACGGCCCTTTGACGATTCGGTTCACAATCTTGAACCGCTGGTTCCTGAACGAGTCGTCGCCGTTGACGAACCGGTGGAGGAGCGAGCCCGCGGGGATCGGATCCTCCGTCGCGAAGTAGAATACGGCGCTGTGCTGGTCCTTCCCCGGGACCTGGAGATTCACGGCGAAGATGAAGCTCTTCAAAGACTTCCCTAGGGCTTGGGATTTCCGGAGCGCGTGGGCCACGCGGTTGTCCGGACGCGCGAGTACATTGTCGAGTTTAGTACTGGACTTGAGCCAGTCCATGCCGGCGGGGGAGAGGAGATACTCTCCGGCGGGGGATTTTTGTCGTTTCGTGAAGTAATTCTTGGCTCGGAGAGAGAAGAGATTGCCGGGAGGGGAGGCCCAGCCGTTGGTTCCGGTGTGGAGGTCCACGTGGCGTAGAGATCCTCCATTGACAGACTCCGCGATCCAGTCGGTGTCTCCGGCCGTGGACTCGGCGCCAGAGCTCCTGTGCTTTTGCTTAGTGGGGCACATGGTTATCTGCTTTGGGTTTTTTTTTTTTTTTTTTTTTTCCTCTCTCAAAAAGAGGTTCGGAGTAGAGAGCCCTGAGAGTGGAGGAAAATAGTAATAATATAAGCGATAAAATATAGGGATGCATTTACGCTTCGAGGAAACTACGAGACTGCCCTTTATTCCCCCGCCAGCTATCTCTCGGTTTTCATATTAATTCCAATGCATAATTCTTTTTCTTTTTGGGACAGCAACAAAATTCTACGTTTGCTTTTTTCCTTTTATTTTTTATATCCTAAATGCTGACTTGTTATGCGTCATAGTTTGTCGTTATCGCTTTGTGAGTTATGAATAACAGAAAACTTGGACATATAATAATGTGATTGCTTGAGGTTCGGAGCAAAAAAAAAAAAACCAAGTAGTCCTTGAGCTATAAAAAAAAAAAAAAAAAATGCGACATTTGACATAGACGAGTCGTTTTCCTAATAATTTCTTCTCCTGTTTTCAGAAGTTGCATTCATTTATTTAAAAAAAAAAAAAAAAAAAAAAAAAAAAAAAAAAAACTTGTGGGTCCGATGAACGGGAAATATGTTTAAAACATATTATTTTCCAAAGGCATGTATTTGGCACATTCGGGAGATGATCAAATTAAACCGAGCATGTCTAACTTGTTTTTTAAAAAGTTGCATAAAATAGTTGCTGATCGCAATTAATTGAATTATTTTACAAAGGTCTGCCTAATAGAGTTTCATCAAGAATCATTAATAATTTTTCAATTGAAAAGCACATCGTACTTATTTTTTTTTTAATTTTTTAAGAGCTAGATAAAGGTGCTTAAATAGGACGGAAAATGCTGGCGACAGGAGCATAGTATTTAATTGCGTCATTTTTGCTATGGATTTTCTTCTGCTCCCTTTTTTTTCCCCCTAAGGAATAAAGTGGTAGAAGAATATAATTAAAAGAAGAAAAAGGTGTTTGAAGAATATAATTGAAAGTTTTTTTTTTTTTTTTTTAACTACCCAGTGTACCACACAGAGGGGACAAAAAAAATAGAAATTTCTCCGGCACCAAATTTTTTATCAAAGTTATTTACTTATTCGCTAGTTTAAATTGGGTTGATTTAAGCCTTTTTATTAAAACAAAAAAAAATTAAACAATGTTAATCCGAATAAGAAATAAAATCTAAATTAGTGTTTGGATGAGTAAGAGTAACTCAATTAAAATGGGTTTTTTTCCTAATTGAAAATTTCATTTTTTTTAAGTTGATAATAATTGAAAAAAAATTTACATTGAAAAGAAGATTTTTTACACTAAAAATCTGTACAAAAACATATTAAAAGATTTGTATTAAAAAAAAAAAGAGCTTATTCAACAACACCATTAACATATATACAGTGTATAAGTAGCATTTGCGACAAAGAAATTTTTTTTAAAAAAAATTAAAAAAAAAAACAGCAAACAAATAATTATAAGAGGATCGAAAAATGACAGCATGCAAATCGAAAACGACAAACAAGCACTTAAGGTAGGGAGGTCCTAAAACGACACCGTGCAAATAGGGTTAGGGGGTCAAAAACGACAACAACATAAGAGGGAAAAAAAAGTTTCTGTGCTGTGGCACTGTAGAATATTGACTTGAAAAGTGGTACTGAGGGGGGGGCTTGGAACTCTAATGGGATGTTTATTTTAAGAGTTTTGTTTCTAGTTTTGAATAATGGTTCTTAGTTTTTTATAGTATTTTTCTCTTATAAAAAATTTAAAATTTTAAAAATTAAAATTATGAATCATAATTCTGAATTCATAAACCAAATGTCTCATAAGTTGGGATGTTCAGTTTAAACTGAACTGTCCATTCAGTTCCCATTAAGCACCTTGCCAAACGCAAACTTGACCTTCACTTCCACTTAAAGTGGGCCGAATTGGGCGGAACTGCCCAACCAAACATGTCATAAGGAAATCCATTGAAAAAAGGAAACTATAGAAAGAAAACACACACCAAAAGAACCCGTTTAGTAATTTTTTTAAAATGATTTTATTTTCAGTATGAAAGTAAAAATGAGATTGTTTTAAAAATTATTTTAAAACTGATTTTGAATTTGCATTGGATTGATTTTGTAAGAGATTCTTTTAAATATAATAAAAAAGTAAAATCGTATTTGGTTTAATTAATATATTATAACATTGTTAATAAGTATAGAAAATGAAAACAAAAAAGAAAAATAACTTTCAACTGTTTTTAAATTCTTTCACAAAAACTATTCTCACTATTTTTTTTTTCGTTTTCGTTTTCAAAACATTTGCCAAACAAACAGAGTTTGTAAATCGTTTTCAATTTCGTGTCTTAAAATACGTGTAAAAATATTTTTAAAAATAATCTGAAATCAATTCTAAACACACCCTCTAAAACTAATTCTAAATGCACCCTACATTTTGACGGAGTATTTGACTTCATTAGTTTTGAAATCGAACAGCGACACGCGAAGAAAACAATATAGATAGACAAAAAATGATACAAAGGTTGTGTTTAGAGTTGTTTTTGTTTTTCACATTTTTCAAGAAAGAAAAAATAAAAACGGGAGAGAAACGACATTCGGCACAATTAAAGACAATAAACGAAAATGAAAATAATTTTTTAATTTAGTGTAAAATGAGAGAGAAATAAAAAATTACTTTTAGATCTTTTTTATTTTTTATTTTTTTTTCTCCTCTCTTAAGTAGAGAGAAATATTAATAAATTTTTTATACTGAAAATAATTTTTTAATAAAATTATTAAATATATTTTTAAAAATAATTTCTATCTAAAATTAAAAACGCTTTCATTTTTATTTTTATAAAAAAATAAAATTATTTTAAAATTAATTTTAAACGCACTCAAAAATTTCAATTAGGTCATTCGCCCCTGGTCGCACAATGAGTCACCGGAGCGTTTAGAAATCTGCACGTGGCATCGTACATACCAACTTCACGGTTGCAGACAATTGCGACATCTCACGGTGGGAGTCGTTCGTGCAGTGCATATGTATAATTATAATGTAAAAAACAACTCATGACGACACTGACCATCATGAATAATTGTACTTCTTATTTGCTGGAAAAATAATTGTACCCGTACAAGCTAAAAATAAACGCATAACAAACTCCTTAAAAGTAAGAGAATCTTTACTTTATAGAATAATGGTCCGTTTATTTTGTTAATTTAAATTTTTAATTTAAATTGAAATGTGATATTATATGAGAATTTTTTACTGTAATAAAAATTAAATATGACTATTTTTAAAAATTTTTTACTGTAACAAAACTCAAATTCTAAACTCAAATCAGCGAAATGAATAAGGCCTTTTTAACTGCTAATTTAACGATTAAAGGCATTTTTTTTAGATTAAAACTTTAAAAAAATTATAATTTTATTTAGGTTCATGTTCTCTTGTAAAATTTAAATTTAAACTTAAGTTTGAACTCGAATTTTAACTTGAATTTGAGGTTAAAATCTAAATTCAAGTTTCCTTCAACTGAGCTCATTTAGTTCGTTGATTCGAGTTTTTAATTCGAATTGAGATGTGACTTTATGTGAGCTTTTTACTGTAGTAAAAAAGTTAAATGTGATTGTTTCTGAGAGCTTTTTGCTGTAGCAAAACTCGAATTCTAAACTCAAATCGGCGAAATGAACGGGGAAGTTCTTAAACTCAAATTCAAGTTAATGAATATTATTTTTTCTATTCTTAAAAGCACTATACATTTTCGTTTTAATTCTGATTGAGATGATTTTTTTTTCTATGCGTTCACAACGAAAAGACAAATAAAACCTCATCTATATACCCTATTAAAATTTTCCATAACTATTGAGTTTTTATTAAAATACTATCTAAATACAATTTCAAGTTTTGACCCACCCAAACACAAACTCAAATTGATTCTCAATTCAAACCATAACTCAAATGTGCATATCCAAACACAAACTCAAATTATAACTCAAATTTAACTCAAGATCTACACTCAAATCATCATAACTACAAAATACAACCGAACAAGTCTTAAATTTGTGTAATTCCGTATTAAAAATTTAAAATACACCACACAAAATCACTCATGTTGTATATCTGACTGTTAAAAGTTAAATCGAACCGTAAAACGACTTTACCCCATCCACGGTAAAGACTACCTACAAACAAGGGGAAAGAACTGCTTAGTAGCAAAAACAATTTAAAAAAAAAAAAAAAAAAAAAAAAAAAAAAAAAAAAAAAAAAAACCAGAGAGAGAGCGCGAAGAACTCCTTAAATGATGTGCATATTTTTCTTCATGAAAAAAGCAAATTATCAACCAGGAGCAATCAAATATAATTTTGACATAAGCTATACTTGATGGTGTAATTGAGACGCTCACATGGCCTCACAGCAATGGATTTCATAGTTAAATATCAAATCAAACTTAGACCGTTTCCTTCACGAAAATTACAACACCTAAACTTAAAGAGATGTCACAGAAAAGCAAGCATGTTCACCTTGAAATGCTAACTACATTATTTCTGTTCTTATTCAGAATTATGGATGCCCACAATCCAGATGGAAGTATAAAGAAAACAAAGTCAAGAATGGCAAAAACAGACAATTGTCGGATCCAAAACTTGCAGTTCTGTTTTGTCTCGATTGGTGTAAATAATGGTCGATGGCCACACCTCCCTTACTAAAAGCCTCTGGTTAGTTTTTCTTTTCAAGCAAAAACAAAAAAACAAAACAAACAAAACAAACAAAGAACAAAGAACAGAGAAAAAAAAGAAGCCTCTGGTTGGTTGAGACAAATATACAGCTCAAGATCGATGGCCGACCTTTGGGGCCGTATGCAACTCAACTCCACCTTCACAAAATTGCTATGAAGCAATAATACAGCATCACAATTTCCAGAATCTTGAGTGCCTATGCTATAAAAAGCAAAAATATAAACCGAAAGAATTATTATTGGCTAGCAAGAAATAGTTGCGTCCACTCATTATTTGTAATAGACTCACAGTATACCAAACAACTATCAGCTTTTGAAATCAGAATAAAGTTCTCTAACCGTATCCAGATTTATAAACATCAATAAATTTACTAGGAAAGCTTTTGTTTTGAATTAAAAAAAAAAAGTACCTTAGCCCACGGGGTAGATGAGATTGAATGAAACTCTCACTTAGGCCCCGTTCATTTCACCGATTCGAGTTTAGAATTCAAGTTTTGCTACAGTAAAAAGTTCTCAGAAACAGTCACATATAACTTTTTTGCTACAGTAAAAAGCTTTCACATAAAGTTACATCTCAACTCGAATTAAAAACTCGAATCAGTGAAATAAACGGGCATTTACATTCGATTCTTCCATATACATTAGGTCACTAGTATGCATCCATTAATTTTAGAGCTTAACTTACACTGATCAATAAAACAACCAGTCACAACTTCTAAGACCTAACATAATAGATCCTATTATTTTCAACAACGAAACAATCAACTGTATAAAACCCGACAATCTTCTCTATTTTCACTAATAACGATGACCCTTAAACTATATGACAAGGGTGCTGATTTGAAAACTTATATGGTGATCAATTCCAGCCTAATCTCAGTAACGTGAGTGCTTCCTAGAGATTTAAACTTGCATCAATAACAAGAAAGCCTAAAGTTAGGCATCACATAGAATAACTTTCTTGCTTTGAAGTAAGACAAACTTCCACATGATAATAAACACTGACCCTAGTCCCCAATCCAATTCACTCTAATACTTATAAAAGAGAAAAATACCGACAATTCCTTTCACCTTGACACCACAAATTGCAACGCCATCTACCAAATGTGGCCAATTATTAAAGATAATACACTCCCGTAATTAGTCTAACAGCTGGATGCTTCCTCTTCCACTAGTAGATGTGTAGTCAACATACGTATCAATCATTCCCAAAATTTTAAGACAAGGTATAGAACTGCTATTATATTTTAGTGTCACAACAAGTTTTGCACAAACAACATCTGTGTTTCCGATAAGTTCCAAAACTTATTATGCATGTATTAAACACGAAGAAAGTACATAGAAATAACCTAATACACAATCCTAAAACTATATGTTTTGTTGCCAAGTCTCTGCAAAATTTAATACTTCTAATAGAAAAGTAAATTCGGATTTTCCCATTATGATTATAAAACCTAGAACATACAGTCCATGCATAGTTACATTACATGCAGTGAAGCAATACTATTATTATTAAGCTCTCCGACAACAGGCCAAGTAAAAATCACATCCAATGCATCAAAATTAACTCTGGCCTCAGAAAACAAAAATAGAGAGCATAGTCATCAATAACCCTTGGATCTTTAGACCTCACTGTTTTCTATCGAAACTCCAACTTTGTATAGCTGTGATCCTGCGACTTTTATAGCTAATGAGCTAGAGCCATTGCCTTGACTAGCAATTGCAAATAAAGAAAAGGGAAAAGAAGAATATATTATAGTTCTGCAGATGATAAAGAAGAGAGATCTTGCAAAATCCAACTGAACAAACTCATGAGGTTTAAATCTCCAAGGTCACATATCAACTAAAAGCACCATTTACAAACATTTCTCAAATTTAATTACCTCAACAACAATATCAAATAGTTAATACCACACAAGCTTTCATAGCAAATTATATATATATATATATATATATATATATATTGACAGGCATCTTATGTGTATAAAATAAATGACTATATATGGCAAAAATCCGACTCTGAACAACAACTAGGAAGCTAATCCAAGAAATTTGACCAGGGCTAAGCTCATACCATTATCAACGACATCAATCCAGCATTCTGTAATGCACCAAAATGCATTTAAAACAACAAAAAGTAAAAAACAAAGCATCAACATGAATAGCTCATTTACCTCCTAGAAGGAAAATGATGCTTAGCACAATTCTTGAAGATCAAAATAACAGGGAAAGAAAAAAAAAAAGGTCCCGCTCCTTTTCCTTCTCTTTATACTATCGGAGAATCAAAACAAGCGAATCAGTCACACACATTAATATACAGAATGTCATGAGAATAAAACCCAAAAAGAGAACAAAAAATAGAAGACACATAGCCAGCACTCTAAATGAATCCGTTTAATGTCCTTAATTCCTGTAAATTTCTAATGCGCTCCAATATAATGTCTAAACAGGTCAACAAATTAGGGTTTCCACCAACCTCCCCGTTTCGTTCCTGCAAGTCCTAGGGTTCATCAGTGCGCTTTTCTTCTCTGTGGCTGTTTCTCGGTGGCCAATCTGTATATCCAATACACCTGAAATAACAGCCAATTGGAGAAACAAAATCAGAGATCAGCTTCTAATGGAAGCAAATATGCTGAAGAAATTTGAAAAGATTTTCGATTTCTGTAATACCAAAGCGAAGACATGAGCAGCTATAAGGATGACCACCATCAGAGGAACCGCTTCGAGTATCCATGGCCGCGCCGGAGAGAGCTGCTGATTCGCCATTTTCGGAAATCAAAAGAGAGATTTATTGTGGAAACTCTCTGAGGCCGATAAGCCCTGCAAAATCAGGGTTTATATTATCAATTTCGCTTTATTCATTTTCCTTCCTGTGCACGAATTCCGGCGACGAATTCTCGCTGGCGGATCTGTCCCACTTGCCCAATACCCAGTACTTGGTGACGGCGGCTAATAGGGCAGAGATATTTACTTCCAAGCAGAATGTGGGAAGATGGTGGGATGAGATTTCGAGCAGAGATTCGTGGAAGAAGGTCGTTGAGATGCAAAAGAGTTCTTGAACTGAAAATGTTTGTTTGGTTTGGTCGTTACTTTTTTTGGGTTTTGTTATGTTTTTTTTATTTTTTTTTATTTTTTATAATAAATTGATGAGCTGCGTAGACTTTAGAGTGATAGGTCACGTTTATTTTATCAATTCGAATTTTTATTACAGTAAAAAAATTTTAAAAATACTCACATTTAATTTTTTATTATAATAAAAAATTCTCATATAAAATTACATCTTAACTAAAATTAAAAACTCAAATCAGCGAATTAAACGGACCCATAATCTATATTGGGCTGTGTAGATTTATTTTATTGCTGATCTGCTATTAAGATAATACTGTTATATGTTAATTTACCAAAATTACTGTTATCTGTTATATGCTCATAAAACAGTTTTCATACGCGGAAAGAAATGTTTCTTTGTGTTTGATTAATTTTGTCACTCTCAATCTTGTTGGAAGAGAATTTTTTTTCCAAGTACGGACATTATATTCTTATTCCAGGTACAAACTTATCTATATATCTCTTCTTTTGGGAGGTGGCATCAAGTTTCATGAAATGCCTCTAAATTTAGTCCTGTTTCATGAGATTATAACCATTTTTAATTTATGTGTATATTTTTTTAGAGAAAATATTATAGCGAATCATAAATCATGATTTAAATCATGGTATGAATTCATTTACCAGACGTCTCCTAGATTCCAGGTTTGAGTTTTAATAGGGTAAATTAAAGGTCTCGTTCATTTCATCAGTTTAAATTTTTATTTTTAAGTTTTTACAGTTAAAAATATTTGTTACATCTAACTTTTTATGTTACAATTAAAAACTCTAAAAAAATATCACATATCAATTCAAATTAAAAATTAAAATTTACAAAATGAACGAGCTCAAAATACTTTCAATGAAAAAAAGGGTAAATCATAAGAAGTAGATGCGCAAAGACAAAAAGGGATGAATGATTATGCATAGTAAATTACATATTTTTAAAATATTTTATAAACAGTTTCATATTCTTAAATAATAAAAGTAAATAACATATTTATTGATAAGTAATTACTTTGTATAATTTTGTATACTGATAACTATGCAGCGTACGCTATTTACATCAATTATTTTAAAAATATGTTACTTATACGTTTCAAATATATATATATATATATATATATATGTATACACCGCCAAAACTTCCGTGAGTGAATAGTGTTGTGAATTACCAATTTAACAATAATCTGTAACTAAAGTTAAAAAAATTATTGTTACAAGAGGTAGATGAATTCTAAATATCAGCAAGAAATTTATTAGGGGGTACACAGGAAAATAGCAGTTCAGATCTGAAATCCGGGTCGGGCAATTCCTATTAAATATTAGGAATAAATCCAAAAATAGGCAATGAATTCTTTTCTTTTATTTTTATTTTTAAATTAATCCTCGTAGTCACTTTTATCTTATAAATAGTTTCTAAACTTAAAAAAATATTTCTTAAATGGTTTTTTTTTAATTTTAAATGTAAACTGTTAATTTTGTCTCGTAAAAAATTTCTGAACTATCTTCTTTCTCTATAAATAGCCCCTATATTAAATGTGATAATTGTCAATACATTATGTAGTATTGGGAATACTGTTTGTATTTAATTGCTTTTACTCTTTCTTTCTTTAGGAATTTGTTTCCTTAATTTGGTGCTGACGTAATATATATGATCATTGTCTTCTTGCTTGAATTTTGAATGTGCTAGATTGCGACGTTTCTTTTTTGGTTTTAAATTAAATTTATTTGGAATTTTCATTTTTTATATAATTTTTTTACTGAGAAATTTAAAAAAAAAAAAACAAAAGTGCTAGATTAGGAATATAAAAGAATAACAATGAATATAATATAAAAGATATTTATAAAAATATTTATTTTTAAAAATTATTATCGGACAATATTAGTTAGGGAAAATTTATTATTATAGTGAGGCAATTATAGTCACTAAAAAATTAAAGTTGCATACGTTAATAAATAGATTAAAAAAAAGACAAATGTGTGTGGCAAAGAAATCAATTTTGGCATTTTTTTAGTTTAGGAATTACATGTGGTATAACTTCTCATATTTAATATTTGTCATCTATTTATTTAATAGAGAAATTATTTTTGACATTATTTTTAGTTTAGGAACTAAATTTAATACAACTTTTATAGAGTAACCATCAAACCACAACCATAATTATTGTCTCGTGTCTTACTAAAATTTACTATCAATTTTTTTGGGTAGTTTTGGAAAAGCATTTTGTCTTTAAAACATTTTGTTGATAAGTATATGGACACGAATCTTTCTAAAAATTTAATATTTCAAACCTAAGCTATATTTGTTGTAAATTCAGACTGCACTAACAATAATTGTCAAATTTAAAGTGGTAAATCCGAAAAATGAAAATTTGGCTAAGGATTCCATATGAAAGTTTCACATTTCTCGTACAAATTTGAAAATACGGCACTCTTAAAAAAAGAGTTATTATAAAAAATAAAATAAAAAATCTAGGGCGTGTTTTGGAATTGATCTCATTTTTATTTTTCATGTTTTTCAAAAAAAAAATAAATCTTTTTTTAAAACGGCGTATGACACAATAAAAATAAAAACAGAAATGAAAACGATTTTTTAATTTAGTGTAAAATGAAAGAGAAATGAAAAATGAGTTTTAGTCATTTTTCATTTTTTGTTTTCGTTTTCTCTTCTCTCGAGCATAGAGAGAAAGAAAGATATTAATGAATTTTTTATACTGAAAATGATCTCTTAATAAAACTACCAAACGAATTTTTAAAAATAATTTCTATCTAAAATTAAAAACGTTTTTATTTTTATTTTTATACAATAAATAAAATCATTTTAAAACGAGTTTTAAACGCGTTCTAAGTCTAGTCTATTGGAAGAAAAAGGGAGAAAATTTTTTTCCGAAAAATACTAGAGCGGATTGGTGTCGCTGACGATGCCAAACAGAGAAAACGTGGCGGTTTTCTCAGGTTCCAAGCAAGCACAAACTCACAGCGCTATTCCTCGTTTGCGCAATATATCAAACACCTTCGCTGCAATTATTCCCCACGCCATCATCATCCATATGGCCTCTTCGTAATCCTCTGCCGCTAATACCATGCGCCCACCGCCGATGAGGAATGCCTTCGCCACTCTCAAGCGTCACCGCCACGCCTCTCTGCTTTCCCCTTGTACTTTTCTTCTCTGCTCTTTAATTCGTTTTCTCATCACATTTCTTTTCTCCTGCATATTCCGATTTTCATTTCGGCTTCCGTTTGGTTGATGAAAACGTCGCGAGAGAAAACTCAATCAAGATCATATGTATTTCAATCTCTTTTTTTAGTAGGTGAAAATTGAATTATTATATTCATGTATTTCTTGTTCTGGCTGTATTACTATTTTCTTTTTTGGATTTATTGGCCAAATTACGAGTCTGTGGATTGATTTAATTTAACTACCTGGATTAGGTTCAGAGGCTAATTTCGACTAATTTGTATAGTTTTAAGCAATGTGACTTAAATTTTACTGAAACTTTCGTGATTGCTTTATTTGTTTTGGTTAGACTTTGTTTGTTTTTTTTTCTTTTTTTTTTTTTAATTTAGCTTTGAATTACTTGTTGATTCTCCCTATTAACCATAATCACATGCTAATGGTTGAATTAGACGAGCACATGGCCGAATCAATGGTTTTTAGTCTCTATTTCAGTTGAGTCTTATCTAAGCAAGGAAAATGGAGGATTTTCTTTTCTCTTCTTTTCTTTTCTTTTTTAAATGTATTACCTTTGTTGCTTCATGCCAAGAATATCCGTCTTTACATCGAATCTCGATCACAATAAAAGTAATATTGTCTCCTTATTAGTTGGATTTTGGTATTGTTTTCAGCCTTACACTATAAAAGCACTATAGAGATCGTATTGCCGAAATGTGGATCATTGAGATTTCAGAAAGATTATTATACTGGGAGGAGTTCAGATAATTGGTTTCGCTATTACTTGTTGCTAAAACATTCGTAAGTCTATTGCTATCCTCGGTACTGGGAATAGAATTGAAAGTTGAAACTCATATTTGTTTTTGAGATCATCTGAATTTGTCATTGGTCTCACATGTCTATTCCTCCATGATTGTCCCCGCTTGATGTCGGTGCAGATATTCCACTAGTTTCACCAGTGTGCACGGCGAAAGGCCGTCGGCGGAGTACGCAAAGTTGAGGAAGGAATCGCTGGAAAGTGAGTTTGGACAAACTCTAGGGACTTATAGCTCGAAAAGTTTTTCCACTGTCTACCGTTTTGGTCCATTTTTGGCTTTGTATAGAGCAGCAATCGTTTCGTTCCATGTTGTGAAGCTATCCATCTGGCAATTATTCATATGGGATAACAAAAAACGTGCCATCAAGGTATTAGATTTTTCTCCTCTACTTGAAAAGGTTATTGTTTGTGATTTTATGGATGGAGTAACGAAGTTTGTACAATTCTTTTGCAGTTTCGAGAAACTCTAATCCGGTTGGGACCTTTCTACGTGAAGGCAAGTCATTTAACTTTTAGGTGAAACTTGACATGCATAGCTTTTGTGTATACCTACGCATGTTATTGTGTATTAATATAATTTTTGTTATTGTCTTGTTTAATCTCTTGTTTTGATGGAAGGGAAAATTCATTTTTAAATTTTTTGTTTCTAGTTATTGTTTAGTTCTTTGTGGTCTTGATTTTCATGCTAATAACCCAGTTAATATATGTTTTAGTTCCTTATATTCACATTCTCTGTAGCAATTTTTTTTTTCGGATGTGACCTTTCCTTTCTATCTTTGTTTTTGGTTGTTTATAACAACGCTTCTGTATCTCGGAGAGGTGCTTAAGATCAATAACTTTGTGGTTCAATCTTGTTTCATGGTTTCTAATTTGCTCCATTTCAAAATTACACGGTTAACCAATATTTCTTTTTCTTCCTTTTAATTGCAGCTTGGGCAGGCTCTTAGCACTAGGCCTGATATACTCTCAACTGTATACTGCGAGGAGCTTGCTAAGTTACAGGTTCGTATATTTTTTTATTCCCTAAGTGCTTTACTTGTTCATGATCAAATATTATGCTTTTGATTTTTTTTTCTTCACAGTCTTACATATTAAAGGTTTTTTTTCCTCTGCCAGGATCAAATACCCCCATTTTCTACTCAAGTTGCAATTAAATCGATAGAAACCCAGTTAGATGTTTCCATTTCAGAGATTTTTGCTGACATAAGTGCAGAGCCCATTGCAGCAGCATCCTTAGGGCAGGTCTATAAAGGTTAGAGAGCTCTTTTGGAAATTGAGACATATATGCCTTTTTTCTGGACAAGCGAGGAACCTCCAAACCCTTCTTGGAGGATTTTCAGAGAATGGGTATCTTTCGAGACAAGCTAAATGGTTTATGTTGTTATTTCAAGTTTTGCAGCTCATCTGCACTCAGGAGAACTGGTAGCTGTTAAAGTACAAAGACCTGGTATGTCGATGTTGCTAACCCTTGATGCCTTATTATTCCATATGATTGGTGGCCAATTGAAGCGTTTTGCCAAGGCCCGCAGAGATCTATTTGTAGCAGTGAATGAGGTGGTGAGTCCCTTATTACGTCTCCACTACCTTCCCGTTATCATAAAAATTGTCGAAAATTTACCACCTAAAATATAAGACATTAGTTTTATTCTCTCATATGTTTTATCTTTCTTTCTCCATAATCTATCATTTATCTTCATGATAATCATTTTCACTTTGTTCATCTTCCTTATAATAATTTTGAACGCTCGTGTTCATAGTTTTTTGGTTTCTTTTGATGGACAGGTTAGACACATGTTTGATGAAATTGATTATATCCTAGAGGCAAAAAACGCTGAGCGATTTGCCTCTTTATATGGTTTATGCCCTTGTAAGTTCTTACATACTTGTAACTGTGCATTTTATTTGTCAGAATTTAAGTAGGCATCTCATTGAAGTTTGGCCTCTTAGTGAATACTGAAAACATGCCATAGAATCTTCTCACCAATATAGATGCTATTGACCAGTTGTTGAAGTATCTTCTCTGCGAGATGTATCCATAATGATCTTCCATCTTAAATGTACCTGAACGTCATTATCTACTTGTCATGTTTGGACATATTATTTCAGAAGTTCAAGATTGCTTATCTTCCTGTAGTTTTCTTTCAAGGAGAATAAGTAGCCTTGATAAAAATAAGGTGTTTTTTTCTTCTTGAATCATGCATGTTAGAGGTTTGCCATACACGTTCTGCTCTCAGCAGGGATCACTGCTTGGATGGAGGCTTGCTAATCACTTTGCTTCTAAAACTATAATAGGGTGATATCCACTCTTTGTTGCTATCTATTAGAAAGTAATATTGTTAAAATTATTAGTCTAAACATATAAGTGACAAATATTTATCATAATATGAAGCTGATGGCCAAAAGAGCTATCAAGAAGCTACGCCGGGAGAAACCATCAAATATCATAAAGGAGATCGTGTTAAGGTTCCAAAAATATATTGGAACCTCACTCGGAGGGCTGTGCTTACAATGGAATGGATTGATGGAATTAAGCTTACTGATGAAACTGCCCTGAACAAGGCCTGCTTGAACCAAAGGGAGCTAATTGACCAGGTATTGAGCACAAATAACTCCAAGTCTTCATAATATTAGACTGTTATTGGCTATTTTGCATTATTTTGCAACATTTCATTTCCTTTGATTCTTTGTAGGGAATGTACTGCTCTTTGAGACAATTGCTTGAGGTGGGCTTTTTTCATGCTGACCCACATCCAGGAAATCTTGTTGCCACTGAAAGTGGCTGTCTTGCCTATTTTGATTTTGGAATGATGGGTGATATTCCTCGACACTACCGTGTAGGACTCATAAAAATGGTAAAACTCTTTAGAACAATTCTGTACGATGGTTAATTTTCTTGTATAATTACACTTGTTGCGCTCATTCATGGCACAAAAATAGAAAAGGGATGCACTGGAATGTGAACTCTCTGTGGATTTTTCACTTAAATACTTGTCTTTTGTGCTCATTCATGGCACAATAGTAGAAAAGGGATGCACTAAAATGCGAACTCTCGGTGGATTTTTCACTTAAATACTTGCCTTTTGTGCTTTTCTCTATCTCTTTTTGTCTTTGCTGATGCTAAACGTGGTAGCCTATCTGCTTGTTGATAAGTTTCTACTTCTTTCAGCTTGTGCACTTTGTTAATCGTGACTCACTGGGTTTGGCAAATGACTTTCTTTCTTTGGGATTTATTCCTGAAGGGGTGGATATACAATCAGTTTCGGATGCGTTGCAAGCATCATTCAGTGAGGGGACTAGACATTCTAAAGATTTCCAGGTTTGTGCTTGTGTTCTCGATATGCATTCATGTAGAATCATGTTGCTACCCATGTACTCATGTTTGTTGCTTTTATTTGATCTGTTGTGATGACCTATGTTGCTGCGTTGGATTTTAGGGAATCATGAACCAGTTGTATGATGTCATGTATGAATTCAACTTTTCTCTTCCTCCCGACTATGCCCTGGTCTTAAGAGCACTAGGATCACTGGAAGGCACTGCTAAGGTTCTGGATCCTGATTTTAAAGTCGTTGAGAGTGCATATCCTTTTGTGATTGGGAGACTTCTAGCAGACCCGACTCCTGATATGAGGAGAATTTTAAGGGAGCTTCTAATCCGTAATAATGGATCCATTAGATGGAATCGGCTAGAGCGCCTTGTAGGTTCTCCCTCTAATTTACGTAAATATTGCGTATTTGGAGTTTCCAAAAGGTGTTTATTGCATAGAATATATATTTTCGACATTGATGAGTCATATCTCTGAATCGATATCTTGTTTCAGATAGCAGCGATATCGGAACAAGCTTCTGAATCTGCTGAGGAGCCGCCTGATTTGAAGGAGAATAAGCAAAATCCTCTGGGATGGAAATATTTTGACATGCATTCTGTTGTTTCTGCCACTGAAGACCTTTTGCACTTTATTCTGTCTGAAAAGGGTCAGAGGGTGCGCGTTTTCCTTCTACGAGATATAATTGACGCTGCCGATGCTTTTATCGATGATGAAGTCGTTGATTGCGTGTTAAATGACAAGCCTAAACAAAGAGTGTCTGAGGTTTGTTTCCTATGAGCGGTCACAATTCCAAAAAAGATTCTCAAGTCTAGAGTTGCATAAAATAGTTTCTTTCTCGGAACTCTATATTTTCAAATTAAAAGGAGTGACAAGTATAAGTGTAGTAGTACAGAAAATGATAAGTTATTTATGTTGATTCTCGTATTCTTCAGGAACATGACATGGTGAGGAGGGTTGTCAATGGGTTCCAGCGACTCCGTGAAGCCGTAAAGTTGGCCCCAGAAGTCTGGACAGCAATGTTTCTGCGATTGGCAGTGAAACGTGAGGTTCATTCGTTTGCACTAGACTTACTTTCAGCTCTGATAATCCATTTTAGCCGCAAAATTCCGGAAGCTTCTTGGATCTGTTTGTCAAAAATTCTGCATGAGTTGACGAAAAGAAACAGCTCTGTTGAATTGTGATTAGCAGTAGTAGCCCCGATTTTAAAAAAAAAAAAAAAAGTTTTGTTTTTTTATTTTTTATTTTGTTTTTCCCTCTCTTCTATTTCAATGAAGGGGAAATTTGGCGATTCATTTTTGTTGAGGAATTTCAAGATTTTGTATAGAACGTAATTAGATTTCACACACAGCCAAACAAAACGGACTGCAAAAGCAACGGATAGGCTTTCATAACAATAAAACGCCATCTAGTGTGATGGCTTATTGTGGTGAGTTTCTGGTCACAGGTTCGAGTACGGAGTTGGGGATATTAAATGACGGAGTTGGGATATTAAATGACGCCATCTAATGTGGTGGCTTATTATGGTGAGTTTACGGTAGCAGGTTTGAGTACGGAGTTATTTAAAAGGGATATTAAATGTGAAGGTTTGTTTTCTGCCACTCTAGTGCTCGATTGAGAGTATCACACAACTGTTAGCCATATTTGGTGGGGTTGGGGTAACGCCCATTTCGGTTGAGAAGTGGTTGATTCAAAGTAGGCCTAATGCGAGCATTTTTGTAAGCGTCTGGGGTCTTTTTGGTCACGTAACGATGGTCACTTCTAGACTTCTAATTTAGCCATAAAAAAAAGAGTAAAAATGACGAGAGAAATTATACAAATTATACATGCGTAAGCACCTGTGCTGTACGAAGTTCTTAGAGATTTCTACTATTTAATGTTGGCTTTATTGAGCAACCATATTGTTAGTAAAGGTGGTAATTCGCGTCACGTGTTGTATTTTGGTTATTTTTTTTAAAATTTACAGTTAATCCGGCCACAACTCGTGACGCGAATTTTTTTAAAAATCGCAACACGAACATGACATGATCACTTTACGGGTTGACGCGATATGAAAATTACTCGTGACACGAAATTGACCTGTGTACTCGAAATTGACACGAAAATTGGTATATCTTTCTTTAGTTTTTTACATAATAGAAATAACTTAAAATTCATAACACACTAAAATATAATAACATCCAACAAAATTATGCAAATAATAGTATAAGATTTTGAGTATAACTAACATGATATCATAAATTCATAATAAAATTTAAAATATGTAATGAAAAATATATATATTTTAGTCTTTTACTAATTTTGTGTTGTGTTCGGGTTATGCGGGTTTAACTTGAAATTGTCCTGTGTTTTTTGTGTCAATTTTAGGTCGATCCAATTCTGATCCGATCATATTTTTTCTCAACTCTAAACCGTGAAATTTGTGTCGTTTTCGAATCTGTTGTCGTGTCGTAAGCTATATTACCCGCCTTAATTGTAGGCAGGGTTTTTTCTTCTCTTATGTGGCTACCTCACTTTGAGATAGATATAGAGAAATCTTTTTCCGAGTAGTTTACACTTGCCACATGGTAGGGAAACTAGCTTCTCTTATTCCTCTTCCCTGACTAATAGGGAACGATGGGGAACCAGAAAAAAAGATTAAGGAAATCTTGAATCTAAGCATGTTCTCTGTCTTGTGAATGACACGTCCCACTCACACTTGTAAATTTGTGATTCCCCTGATGGATGGCGAATGGGATTTAATAGAAATTCAATAATCCTTTGCCATCAACACCAATTTCCATTAGTGTGCCAATCTCAATTTAATGGACACACGCAAAGCAACAACATATTTTCAATGTACGTACATTTTATATACATTTTCCTCTATCAGTACCATCTAATTTGTGCGATTGGAATCAACACTTTTGGTCTATGGGGTTGCTCATAGCCAGATACCATGGTATCAAGTATTCATTTGGATTGTTTTGGCTTTAGGACAGATACCACTTTTCTCTCTGCCTCTATTATTCATATATATATGGGTATGTATCTCTATCAAATTCGTTGACCACTATTATTTTCAGAGTACACAGTCAATGGTCATTGGCCATGGTGGAAATACTTAAATATACGTAATAAAGAATGAATGCTACATGTGCTGATAATAAATGGTCGAGTGATTGAATATTCAGAACGACAAGTGTTGATAATTTCTCTGTCATTTTTCTTTTTAATGGTTCAAATTTTCCTCCAGTCCAAAGCCTCATTAAACATGCTTGCATCTAACATTTGGATCGGCAAAAGAAATTTAAGCTACCAATTACAAAACTTTGCCCTTCCCTAATAACACAATAACAATAAAAACTTAGCCGTTTAGCCGTGAACAAAGTTTTAGCTTATTTTATCATGTTGACGTATTTGCTATATAGGCAAAATCTTTGGTCAGGTAGGCATTTTTTGCCTAAACAGAACGACAGTTGTATAATTTAGAAATTTATTGTACATTTACATAACGACAGTTGTACAATTAAGTATAAGTCTTGTATATGCCTTATACAATTTAACATATGAAAGTTATACATTTACATAAGTCTTGTATATTTACATATAAAGATGTATAAGTTGTACGACAAGTTGTACAATTCAGCATACGATTGTTGTACAATTCAGCATAAATCTTATATAATGTCTTCTGCTGGATCAGTCAGATAAATAGTATTTGCCAGATAGAAGACATTTCCTATATATATGATTAAAAATAGCTGCATACCGTGCACCTTGAATCATCTTAGCCACCTCAACAGCACAAGTAAAGATTTTACACAGTCTAACTTGTTATACATTATGACAGCAAAATGCTTTTCCTCCATAGACACCTAATGGCATAGATGGCTCGTACTTATGGTACATTCTGACACCAACACAAATGCAAGCTAAAAATGTTCGTACGTTGTAATTAGAAGACGAAGATATTTTGAGGAAATTATGGAAAGGGTGCCAAAAAAAGAAAATAAATTATTAATAATTTTTAACTCTAAATCGGCAGGAAATTATGGAAAGGGTACCAAAAAAAGAATAGAAACTGTTATTAATTTTTTTAACTCTAAATTGACAAATTTTCAAGTCATTTGATTTGATGCAATAACATGTTTGAAAAAACGCACACCACCAGAAATTATAAAAAAGTATATTAGTATACACATTTTCAAATTGATAAATTTCTGAATTAATTGATTTAAATATAATTCAGCGTTTGAAAAATTCTTACCATGATTAAATATGCCCCAAAATACCCAAAAAAAAAAAAAAAGCACTCCATTAAGAGCGTTCACAATTTTGAATCGACAAATTTGTGATCAAATTGGACATTTAAAAAGCACAATCTGTAAAGGGTGTTTATTTGATATACTTAAATTTAAATTTATAATTCTGCTACAATGTAAAGCTCTCATAAAACATTTAAATTTTAAACATTAAAATAAAAAATTATAGATTTAAATATACCTTCTAAACGAGTTTAAGTATATTCGAAGACTCTAATCTTACACAATTGTGTCGTGGAACTTAAATCTGTTAGTTGGTGGTTGACGCTACTAAGAAATGCTAATGGCGATCAAATAAAAATATATCATATTAATAAAATTTACGTGTTAAATAAAAAATATAAAAAATAATAAAGAGAGTGACGTTGATATTTTGTTCTCAGAATTTGATGGTGTGGTCGGTCGGGAAAGACGAGCAGCTCTTCTACTTGTGCATGTGCTCCACGTGTGTGGCATACCCTCCACATAAGCCCTTATTTGAAGGTCATGGGACTTGTGATCTCTCCAAATTTGGGCAATTTGACTCGGTCCGCATCGCCAGATCGCCTCACGCTTCGGCGCGACGCGTAGAAGCACCCACATTTAGTATGAAATTTCCAACCAACAAACTAACCCTAACACGATTACTCTTTTTATTTTTTAATTAATTAATTACTTTTATTCTCATTATTATTACCTTTTCTTTATTGTTTTCTTTTCTCTACTGTTTTTCTTTTAATTTTAATTCTATTGATCCAGAGTTTCCCAAGCCCAACAAATCATTAAACCAAACTCGAACCAAAAACAACTAAAGGAAACGAAATCCCCCCCCTCCCTTTGCTCTTTCTCTCTCCCTCTCTAGAAATCCCCTCTCTCGTCGTTCTCTCTCTTTTGGTTCCCTCTCTCCTTTCTCTCTCTATGGCATTTCTCTCCGGGTACTTTCTCTCTCTATGTCATTGACTGCGTGGGAAATCAATCTCAATTTGCTCATTCAATTATTAATTCGTTAGGTTGTATCAGTTTTTTCGATATAATTATTTACCCTGTCTAGATTCTAGGTTCTCTCTTTTTGGAATTCATAATTCGGCTTGTAGCTATAATAACAACAAGATCCGTGTAATTTGATCCCCAAAATTCGAACCTAATTGGCGTTTTTTCGGTTCATTCCTCTGGTTTTTGTATATGCAGGTCAAGTTTGATGAATTCGTAGTTTCAGAATGATCTTTGGGTTGTTGAGCTTCTTTATCGCTCGAAAATAGGCTCTAATTGGTGTATCGTCGACTATATTTGTAGACCGATCGCTGAAGTTGCAATAATTCCTTTTCTCATTTTGGTCGAAGAAATAAGAGGTTGCCAGTTTGTTAATTCGAGCAACAGAATGGGATATCTCAATTCGGTTTTATCATCTTCAAGCCAAGTTCATGCTGATGATGCACCCGTAAGCGGCGGTGGTCTCAGGTGTGCTTTTTTTTTTTTTTGGGTTATTAGATCTGGAGCTGTTATAATGGTAGATTTTTTGTGTCATTTAGTTGCTTTTATGAATTATTTTATAATGAGCTGTTGTTTCTTCTGTTTTGGGATTTATGCTTATAAGCTTATGCTGTGTGGCATTATGATTTATGTGCTAATTATTAATTATGGCCATGTTAGGGGTGCATTTATTTTGTCTTATACGCTTCTGATCGGCTGATTTGTAAATAGGATCTGTTTACTTTCATGGGCAATTTAGGAGAGTCAGGAAATTTGATATATGATTTGGGTTATTTTCTTGGTTAAGACTTGTTTAACAAGAGTTGTATAGTGGTATGTATATCTGCCCCGTACCGTAAAGGACATATCCTTGGAAGTTGATATTCGTATTAAATTGTAGATGCTTCTTATTCTTTTTTCCTTAATTCTCATAAGAAATGCTTACTAGAGCTCTTAATTGATTTTGCTTCTCCTATAGATGAACTAACAATTTTGTTTGATAATGAGTTTGCTTGGAATGATTCTGACACTAACTATGATGTTGATTTGTAACAGTCAGAATGGAAAGTTCAGTTACGGTTACGCTAGCTCTCCTGGGAAAAGGTCTTCAATGGAAGATTTTTATGAGACAAGAATTGATGGTGTAGAAGGAGAAATTGTTGGTCTCTTTGGAGTTTTTGATGGTCTCTCTCTCTCTCTCTCTCACACACACACACGCGCGCGCGCACACAACTATGACACACAACAGGTTGCATAATTGAGAAGTCAAAAATAACAAAATTTTTTCTCATTGTTGTTTCAGGTCATGGAGGTGCTCGAGCAGCAGAATATGTGAAGCAGAATCTTTTTAATAATTTGATCAAGCACCCAAAGTTCATCTCTGACACAAAATCTGCTATAGGTTTGTTATTTCATACCAGTAATGATACCAATGGAATTTTCTATCCAACGGTATAAAAATGAAAGTGTTAAAGAACATGTTCCTTGTTTCTGCAGCTGATGCGTACAGCCGCACAGACTCGGAGTTTCTGAAATCAGAAAATAATCAGAACAGAGATGCTGGATCGACTGCTTCTACTGCCATCCTAGTTGGTGACCGTTTGCTTGTTGCAAACGTTGGTGATTCCAGAGCTGTAATATGCAGGGGCAATGGTAAGACTGGGTGATCTATCGTGGTTTTTGGTGGCGGCATTTCTTTACCTTCAGATTTAACTTATGTCTCGTGCTTCTATAAATAATGCTCTAGTATTAGTTACTTCAAAGTTTTTCACTTGGTTGATTGCCTTTAACTTTTGATCTCCACAGCAATTGCTGCTTCAAGGGATCACAAGCCAGACCAAACTGATGAGCGGCAACGGATTGAGGATGCAGGAGGATTTGTTATGTGGGCAGGTATTGTTTTTTATAGATTTTAAAATTTCCCAACGTTTAGCCAATTGCTCGCTTTCTTGATTGAAATCATATAATCAGGAACTTGGAGAGTTGGAGGTGTTCTTGCTGTTTCTCGTGCATTTGGTGACCGGCTATTGAAGCAATATGTTGTTGCTGATCCAGAAATTCAGGTTACTTTCTCAACTTTCATAACTAAATCTGACATCTAACTAATGATTTATGTTTCTGGGTCATGTTTCAACTTGTTGAATAGATTGACAGAGTTAATAAATATAAAAGTTAAGATAGCCTTGAAATAGTTAATTTTAAAACTTGTATGGGTGTATGACCGTGCAATTGCTCACAATTTTTGTTCAGTAAACTGGATGTGGGGATAAAAGAAATCTATATTCATATGATCAAGTCCTTTTATTAACTCCACTTTTGAGATTATTGTTCTGGGAGAAACAATTTGTTGCTTTAAACGCCTTCTCTATCTCCCATCTTCCCATATAGCTTAGCCACACAATTTTTTTATGCAGGAGGAAAAGATTGATAGCTCTCTAGAGTTCCTTATACTTGCAAGTGATGGATTGTGGGATGTTGTCACAAATGAGGTTTGCCATGGATTTTCTAATTAGATACCACTTGCACGTACTTAACTCTCTATTGAGACTCGTGTCCGAGTGTCTTATCTTTATAGTACACAACTGTCTTGGTCCTACTTCTAGAGTGCTATACAGTTGTCATAAGCCTTGTAATTGCTCGGATGTGCACGTCGATTGGTCGGACTCTGAGATTCTTTACGTATTTCTCCACAGGAGGCTGTTGCAATGATTAAACCAATTCAGGACCCAAAGCAGGCTGCAGAAAGACTGATGCAGGAAGCATTTCAAAGAGGTAGTGCTGACAACATTACTTGCGTTGTTGTTCGTTTCTTGGCCAATCAAGGGGGTTCGTCTCATAGTAGTACTGAGTGAACTCACGTTCTTCGCTGAAAGCCTGAAAGCCTGAAAGCATTTGATTGCCTGCCAGATTGGTAGGAGGGGTACAATAAAATTCATTGCTTGACAAATGTTAGGAAGTCTTTGGTAGCATAGTATTGTATAAGAATAGACGCTAAATCAAATTTATCACTCTGCTAATATGTATTTTTACGTTTTTCCAGCCTCCAGCATAGATTTGTATCGTAGTTTTTAGTTTCTGTTGTTGGGCTTCTTTTTCTACTTCTTCTTCTTCTTCCTTTATTTTTATTTTTATTTTTATTTATTTTTTATTTTATAAAATAGTCTGTTCTCTGACTTCTAAGTGTAGCGGAAATGCTTACGTGTTTCTCTGTAAAGAGTGCTGTGTAACCAAATTCTCAAATATGATGTAAATGTTGTTTGAACTTATATTTATCAGCTTCTGCTATATGAAATTTTTGCTTTGGTGGTGATTAGTTTGGCTTCAATCATATTTCTCCCAACTCTTAAAAGCAAAAATAAATAAATAATAAACAAACCAAACAAACAAATAAATAAACCAATACATTCTTTACAACGGTTAATTTTTAAGACCGATACATCTTGAGAAAGCAAAATTGATTATTACAAACTACGTCATCTTTTGTGGGCGACGTCTTGATAAAACGACATGGGACTCTTGAAATGTTTCTGTTGTTGGACAATATCATGTCGCTTTCAAAAGCGACATGATCCTTGCAGACGACAATATCAATGGAAAACGACATCCAATTTAACACCAATACCAAGATAAACGACATCAGCTATTATAAACGACAAAATATGAAGAAAAAACGACATCAACTTTGTAAACTGTTTACTAAAGGACAACTTTAAAAAGGCAGCTTTTCAAAAAACGACAAGGCAATTATTTTAAAAACAAATGGCCTAAAACGACATCAAGATGCATTATTAAGCAACATTATATTTAAAGAAACAAAATCATCCTCGAGTTTAAAAAAAAAAAGCTCAAAAAAAAAACATATCCACTCAAACGACGTTAATTCCAAAACATAAGAACGGCTTTATTATCTGTTATAAAGGATGAGTTATCGTAGCTAGAAGTGAGAGTTCGGACTGCCCAACCCCGTCCGGTCTGAATTTAATAGCCTGAATGGGAATTTCGAGCAGAGCCGGTTGGGCCATCCTGAAAGGAAGGAGAGTCCACCCAGTCCGACCTTAATGTCAACGGGCTTAGGACTAGGCCAGTCTGGCCTAAATAAAGTTTTAGGCTCAGAATCGCAGCCCAGCCCAACTGGAGGGTTTGGATCGGGCCGGGCCAAGACCGAGTCAACTGTGTCAGTCTGTTTAGGCCGACCCAAATTTTCTTCTCTTATCGTAGCTGACATCCCCGGGTTACAGTGAGTGACGGTGCTAACCTTCTACTTCAATTGGGTGTACACTATTTGTTCTTTTTTTTTTCTACATAAATAGCACGAAAAATATATGAAAGAGATTATGTTACAATAAATTTATGGGCAAGAAGAAATGCTTGAGTTCCAATAAAATCTCTTTAATTCCTTAAAGAGAAATTTGAATTAAAAAAGAAATATTTCTAACCAGAATTTCTACTTTTCATGCACGTCAAACCTCTTATATTCCATACAACAAGACGAATAAAATACTAATAAGCTTCCCCAATTGATGAATGATAAAAATAATAATAATAACAATAACAATAATACTAATTAAGTTCCTAAAAACAAAAATATAATGAAGAAAAAGGAAAATTTCGCATAGAATTAGAGAGCTAGCCCTCCATTTATTAAAAGTTATAACAAATAATTATAGAGAGAGTTATATCTACAAGGAAAAAGGACTCAGATCCAATGAAATTCGGCAAGGCAATTTTGCCCTTACGCACGACGAGCGAAAAAATATCATCATCATCGTCTTCCTTGTGACTCTCTACAGCTAACCAAATCGTCTATATATATATATATATATATATATACACACACACATATTATATTAGCAACTTATAGTTGAATGATATGACTAATGTGTCTTGGTGCATGCCTGCCGACTATTTTCTGCCTTGCTGACCAAGTAAAACTTATTCAAAAGAAATAAAAACATGTAGGCGGTCAATTAATATAGGCTGGCTTGGGGCCCACCAAGGCCCCCACTGATTTTTTGTTTGTATTAATTTTTAACTCTAAAAATTGTGTTCCTTCCATTTCGCCCCCACTCAAAAAAAGAAATATCAAATTAGCCCCCTCTATAATAAATTTATTATATGACATTTTCAATAAATAAAAATTCATTGTCATCTATTAAAATATATTTTATGATCTTCTTTTATACACACGTATTGGGTAGTTTTTGAAAAATACCGCGTTACTACTTTCTATTTAAACTAATTTTATCCCACCAATCATAGAGGTTATCTTTTTTTTTTTTCCCTTGCAACTCAAAATAGCAAAAAACGCTTTTTTATTTTTTTTCCGAAGTGTATTATAAGTTGTACGGTAGATACTTTCGTCAATTAGATATCAAATTTTTAACGATTTTAATCACATATATGTCACATATTTAATTCATAAAAAGCAATACAGTAGGGTAATTATAATGAGTAAGTGACACCCATGTTGGATTGAGAAAAAAATTGTGTTTTATTTGGATAGAGAATAATGAGTAGGTAACATCAAAAACTTAAGTGAGCCACAAATGACTCAAACTATTAAAATATTAATGCCTTAATGTCGTAAGTATTAAAATTATAATTTATTAGAAGTTCTAAGAAAATTTTGTATTATTTTGAGTTATAAGGCTAAAATGAGAGAACTGTTACTTTCGAAAGTCAATTTAAAATTAATCATTTTTGTTTTTCTTATTAATTATTTCCAAAAAAAGAAAAATTAATATACACACCCACTAAATCCAAAAGTTGGCTCCGCCACTAACCCATCATAAATAAGAACAAAGCCACAAACATTATAGTAGGTAAAATATTAGCACTTGCTTTGGGAGAAACTTGCTTGTAGTTTATTCCTTGCTTTAATAAAAAACGAACGAAGATCTTTGTTCAGGGGAAAAAAAATAGTAATCTAAGATGTTGTTCACTGGATAATGACAAGTACTTGTATTCCACAGTAAAGTAATATTCCTCTTGAGAGGACGACCAAAAAAATAAAAGAGTTCTCTCATATATATATATATATATATATATATCAGAATTCTGTTTAAACATTTGGATTTGTATAATGTTTTACTAGTTTTACATATTTTTTGTTTTGTTGTGATTTTAATCGATCTAATGTTTAGAAATACATGATTTAAGATAATATCCTACCTAAAATTTCATGGTAAAAATTCCCTATTTTTATGGTTATGTTTTGAACTCTTAAATTTGTATCAAAGATTATTAGAGCTTGTTTGGTACAGGGCTTTGAACTTGACTCAAAGTTCTGCTATAGTATTTTATTTTATAAAAATTTTAAAATTCTGAATTTTAATTCAAACCACTTAGGGGTTGTTTGGTTGAAGGATTCGTACCCCGATTCGAATCATGGTTCATGGTTCACTACAATATTTTATCGGTTCGCTACAGTGTTTTCTCTCACAAAAAATACACGTAAATCGAAAATAATTTTAATCCATGAACCAAACGTCTCCTTAGTTTAAATTTATTAACCAAACAACCCCTTAGTTATATATATATATATATATGTATTCCATTTTAATGTGTGACTAACTAGGTAGAGATACTCTAACGATGTATGTAGCCCAAAAAAGTAAATTATCAATTATAAGAACGCCTAAAACTAGGGCCTGCTAGTGATAAATGACATAGGAAAGCTTTAAATTCCTAATCAAACGATTCTTCAATTTCTTTCTCTATTTTTTTTTTTTTTAGCTTTATATTTACATGATGCGTGTTTATATAGAACTATATCAAAATGAAAAAAATATGTATATATATATAATGGATTAAACCTAATTCATTTTTTTTTAAATGAAACCTAATACAAATTTGGAAAATTAAGACATAACTTTACCAATAAAGTGTGAGTAATTCTTCTCCCCCTCTCTCTTTCAAAGTTCAAGCAGCAATTAAAAAAATTAGAATATTGAAATGAGCAATATAGCATTTCTGAGTTTTATTGAATGATTGTGACTTTTCTAGTGGCTCATGCATTAGGCCATAAACGCTCCATGTTGGCATTGCCAACTTGCATCGGTAAATATTGCTGAGATTGAAGTTACGGGAATACAATTTCTTTTTTTTTTTTTTTTTTCCTTTTTCATAATTAATGTTATGAACACTAACCCAAACTTTAATAATTTTTTATTAATTTTGAGACATTTTAAGGACATCAACTAATAAAATGATATTGTATTTACCGCTTAAAAATAACAACTCAAAATTGATACGAAATTTAAAATTAAAATTCATGTCTTAGCACTACTCTCTCTCTTTTTTTTTTAATTGGTAGAAATACTTTGAGAGAGCTGGATTTGGAGCTTGGAAAGTCATTCCTTATTTTCATCAGTAGCAAAAAGAAATAAGAAAAAAGGTATTGCTTAATTTTTATTTTTAGCTATTATCATGGTATTTTGTGGGTATACAAGACTAGTTTAGCTCACGCGATGCACGTATTAAGTTGTAATTAAAATTTTGATAATGTAGAGTATCTAAATAATAATCTAAGTGAAGAGCTTATATGATTAAATTAATGAAACATTTCAAATTATAAAATAACAAAATTAAAAAAAAGGAGATTATTTTGATAAGAAAGTTTAGATTTGAGGTTTAAAAAATCTAAGAGAGTTTAAGAGAGAGAATGAGAGTAAAAAGAGAAACAAAAAAAGAAAAATTCAGAGAATATCAATGCAAATGATCTGGTAGACAATTGGTGCCAAAGGAAAAAAAAGAAAAAAGAAAGGTAAAATCCGTTCGTAAGAAATATTTTTAGATAAATGGAGTTAAAAAAGAACGAAAGAAGAAAGTCAAAATAGACAAAAATAAAATAAAAGTTAAATAATTTCATTAGAAAGAACTGAAAAAGATTAAAAAAAATGGCAGAGGCAAAATAATAAACAGTGCATATTGGACGAGGAAAGCTGAATTGTACACCATAAGCGCTATTTGCACGTATTAAATTGTAATTAATGTTTTCATAACATAGATAATGAATATAATAAAAGTTTTACTTGAAAATTTAACAAAAAAAAAGATATTTACACAAATAATCTTTGATAATAAATTCATAATTTTTAAACCAAATGTAACACGAATAAAGTATAATGGATTATAATTTTTAAAAAAACAAATAGATCCATAAAAATGAAAAAAAATATTCGGACTGGTTATACATTTTGATTTTTTGTTTCATATACTTTTTTTTCCTCAAAACTTTTTTTTGTTACTTTATTATTTTAAAACTATTACATACTATTATTGTGTTAGATTCATTTTAAAGATAGATGGTTTATTACTTAAAGAGTCAACACCGTATATTTTATTAACCAAGTAAAATTTTGATTTAGTTTTAAGTTCAAAGAAACCCAAAACTATAAAGATACATATCCACAAACACAAATAACCCAATACTTATGGAAGTAATAAACAGTAAAATGACAAAATAACTTAATACACAAGTAATTGTAATTGACGTCATAATTGATCAATAATTAAAGAGATTATTCCGGTGAGAATTGTTATGATTGAAGGTTTTATAAATCTATGATAGAGCGATAAAGTTTAAATGTAGAGAAATGAAAGAGGAACAAAAATAGTAAGAAAGTATTAGAGATAAGAGACTACAGTAAAATAAATAACGAGGCAGAAAAGAAATAGAAAAAAATAAAGCACTGAATTAGAAAAAAAAATGTTGAAAATCATTTGTAAAATACAATAAGAAACATTAGAGTTAAAAAAAATGAATAAAAAAAAGTAAAACACAAAAATAATAGATTTAAAAAGAAATAAAAATTTAAGCGGTAAAGTAACAAATTATAGTAGACAAATGGAGCCAAAAAAAGGGAGAATAAGGTAATGCAAGCAACAAATGGAAAGAAAAAAAGGGTTAAAAATTAGTAAAAGAGAAGAAAAAAACAACTTTAGTGGTCCAAACGGTGCGTTTTGAACTACCAAAAAGTACACTTCCTATTTTTTTAGGCTCTGTTTAGAATTGGGATTTTAAGGGGAAAAATTTGAAGTAAAAGGAAAAAAAATATATAAAAAGGGGAAAAATTAAAAACTTTCACCTTGTTCGGAAGGTTAAGAAAATTGATAGGAAAAAACATTTGAAAACTTTCACCAGAGGACGAATGCGTCGCGAGCTCCGACAGGATGGATGATGGGGGCGCAGGCGAGGACGGCGACATATCTCGCCGGAGAAGAGAGAACGCGGACAACCGCTGTAGAAGAGAGGAGAGAGATGAGAGGAGGAGCGAGAGGGAGGTGGGCAGAGGAAATAGAGAAGGCGGAGGAGAGAGAGGGAGAAATGGCTGGAGGAGAGGAGAGAGACGGGCCAAGGAGAGAGAGAGGACGGAGGAGAGAGCTTGGCGGAGGAGAGAGAGAAGGAGAATGAAAGTCTGCTATGAAGAGAGAGGGAATCAACTATCGAGAAATTAGAGAGATGAGAGAGAGAGTGTTAGGCCGTTCAGTTTACTAATTTGAATTTTTAATTTGAGTTGAGATGTAATATTGTGTGAGAATTTTTTACTGTAGTAAAAAAGTTAGATGTGATTGTTTCTGATAGCTTTTTACTGTAACAAAACTCGAATTCTAAACCCGAATCAGCGAAAAGAACGAGACCTGAATTTTTTACTGAGAGAATATCTCTTTAATTTTAAGTGGAAAGTTAAAATCCACACTTATTCCTAAGGGTGTAAGATTTAACCCCGAACCTGACTAACCCGTACTGATCTTACCCGATTTCTTTAGTTTTTTTTTATATATTTTTAAGATGGTGTTAACTCGCCATTTGCGGGTAGGAGCGCGGGCCTGGCCTCCAAGATCTAATTATACCCGACCCGGCCGAAATGCACAATTAAGGGGGTTTTAAAAAAAATCCTAGGTCTCCTTTTTCTCTCTGATCTCTCGAAAGTTCAAAACTTTCTTCGCTCATTTTTGCGCCGCTCCGTTTCTCGCCTCACCTCCGCTTTGCTTCGTTCCTTGCCCACCTCCGCTTTGCTCCATTCCTCACCTCGCCTCTGCTCGGTTCCTCGCCTTTATTCCGTTCCTCACCTCGCCTTTGCTCCGTTCCTCACCTCGCTTCTGCTCCGTTCCTCTGCTCCTTCTTGCCGCTGTTCCTCTTCTTCCATCGCTCTCCTTCTCGGCTCACCTCTGCTCTGCTTCGTTCCTCGCCGCGCCTCTGCTCTGCTTCGTTCCTTCTTTCCTCACTGCGCCTCGCTGTTCATGGCAATTTTCAATTGTATTCAATGTTATGTTTAATTTGATAATGTTTTGATATTGGATCGATATTCGAGAGTGGCGGATAATATTTGATATTAATGTTTGTATATATTCTATTGTAATCAGTGATTGAGTTTTTATTTAGAGTTAGTTTACCTGTGGATTACCAACATTCATCAGCAAATTTAGAGTTGGTTTACCCGTGGATTACCAACATTCATCAGCAAAGAATCAACAAATTTAGAGTTGGTTTACCCGAAATAACCCGACCGACCTGAGATTACCCGAGGTAACTGAATGGTGTAAGGGTTCTGGGATTAAGTCACTTGTTACGGCCCACACTTTTCTCAACCCGATTCTTACGAACTAGCCCAAATTTTATAAAAAAAATTAATACCCGACCGAATTTCACCCCTACTTATTCTTCCAATTTTTCTCCATTATTTTTCTATTTTCAAACATGAGAAAACTTAAAATCCTATACACACACACACACACACATATATATATATATATATATATATATAGCCTAATATTATGTAGATAAGAAGTAGAATAGACTAGAATGTCCTAAAAAGTGCGAAAACTGGAAAATTATTTTAAGTAATAATCCATGCTTAACCATTCCCTCTTACCGAAACAATTCCGCTCAAATTCTCAAAACCTCAAAACGGCAAAACCATTCTTTCTTGCACAGCAAATATATAGATTCATAGCTAAAAATTGCTCATCATCAGTCATATTACAGAAGCAAAAGTCATTACTACGTAAGCCACGAAAAAAAATCGACGGTCGTGATACCATCGATCAAACTCCGTTGCCTACTACAACTATATATACAAAAACATCAAAAAGTAGACAAAACAAAACAATTACAGCACCGTCGCCGTTTTCAAAACGTCGGAACGACGCCATATCCTGAGATACGGTCAACATCGAGCTCCACCTCCGTCCGCTTCGCGAACCTTCCTTTGATTCGCGGCCTCGTCTCGGCGTACGCTTTCCGAGACGCGTAACGGATCGTCTTCTCAAACTTTCTGTTCTTCCTCTTCTCTCTGTACCTCAAAACCCTAGCTTCCCGATCTGCCGCCGATATCTGCACCGGATGACGCGCCGACGAATCCACTCCAGAGTTCATCGGCGTTGTGTACGCGTCCGATATGTCGGTGATCGCGTTTCCGTCAGGAACAACGCCTACATCTAGAGAGGACGATGATACCTGTGAAAGAAACATGAACAAAACTCATTTTATTTTCTAGGCAACCAAACAGAATTTAAAACGACTTTTGAGAGAATTTTGAAGAACTTACGCTATGGCTGAGGCAGTGCGCGTTGTAGCCGTAGACGAAAGGCTTGGACGCCGAAAAGTCGAGGTCGAAACATGGCTCGTTGACGATCGGAGCCTGGGGGCTCTTGTTGTGGACCGGAACGACTCCATCGGTGCCGGAACTGTTCTGTTCATGCGCTTCCAGCTTCAGATCGACTGGTCCGTAGTCCAGATCTAAGTACGGCTCCATCTCGGGGAAGGTATACTGGCCAGAATTCAGATCCGGGCTCTCTACGGCCTTAGGGTTCGGGAGCAGCCACGAGGCGGCCTCTGCCTCCTCGGTGCTGGCCTCGGCGTCTGCGTCTCCGTCGTCGGAGACGAACCGGTCGCTAAGGAAGTTAACGGTGCCGGACTTGGCCGAGCTCACCCGTTCGTAGAGGGGCGTGACGGGAACGCGCTCGTGGCGGCGGGCGAGGGGGTTGGCGGAGTGGATGTCGCGGTCGCACGTGACGCAGAGGGCGGCGGCGTCGGCCTTGCACGTGACATGAGCCGGGGCTTGCTCGCATACCTCGCAGACCCAGACGCGCGCGTGGCGGGAAGCGAGCTTGTTGGCGGCGTGGACGTTGGCGTCACAGTTGACGCAGAGGAACGCCGCGTCGGCACGGCAGAACAGAGTCGCCGTCGCCGACTTGCACGAATCGCACAGCTTAGACGCCATAACTACTCCAGAGCTGAGCAACCAAATGAAAGTCCCACTATACTCTCTCTCTCTCTGCTTTTGATTATGTACACGCGTCCATCGGGTGGGACCATGGAGATCTAGGGTGCGGCGAATGGAGAGGTAACACGTAGGACAGGCTTAGCCAGAACCAGAAGATGAGATTTTTTTGGTATAATTTTTTAATTCTCATTTTGACAAAAGGATCGGCGAGAGCCAGGAAAAAGAAAGAAGGGAAAATAAAAAATAAAAAATTCCACTTTGGCTTTCCCTCAATAATATGCAAATTATGTCCTACTAGTGAGGACCACATTAATTGGTACCCATTGCCAAGTTGGGTATTCACGATAGATGTGATGTCTGTGGGGGACCTTAGCACCTTTTCCTAATGGCTGACGCGTCCTGCGATAGGCACAAGGGATTGGCTCGCTCGCGCTTGCGTGAGTGTGTATGTATCACGTGTGTGTATATGTATCACGTGTGTGTACACAAACACAAATTATATCTTTATCTTCGTTTCTATACTTCCCTCCAACTTCAATACACAAGTCTTCGTTTATACATGCTAATTGCTCTATTTGGTTAGGGGAATGGATAATATAAATGATGAAAAGATGACGACAACTTCTTATTGTTTGGTAAGAGAGAATTTTTGAAGGGTAATATAGGGCTTGTTCTTTTATAAAAAACTTGAGTATAATTTTTGAGTTGAGTTTGAGTTATAATTTGAGTTTGTATTTGGTTGTGTACATTTGAGTTATGGTTTGAGATAAGAATCTTTTTGAGTTTGTGTTTGAGTGATTCAAAACTTGAATTTATATTTAGATAGTATTTTAATAAAATCTCAATGCTGATGAAAAATTTTAATAGGGTATATGGGTCAGATTTTATTCGTCTTTTCATTGTCAACGCATAGAAAAAAATCATCTCAATCAGGATTAAAACGAAAAAATTATAGCATTTTTAAGAATAAAAAAAAACAATGTTTATTAATTTGAGTTCGAGTTTCTCAAACTCGAGTTCAAACTTAAAAGAATATAAACTCGAATAAAGTTATAACTCGAGTTGACTTTTTTTTAGTTTTGTTATCAGAAGAACAACCCCATAGTATTTATTTATTTGAATCTCATGTATTTTTTGAAGCCTTCCATAATATGAATGATTCAATTTGGTGGATTTGGACGAAGACTTCACCCCTTCATCTTATTATCTTTTTCTTTTATCCCTCCGACTAAATAATGAATTGGGTATCTCCCTTCATCCCTCTCTCTCTTTTTAATTTCCCTCCAATAAAACACACTATCGGGCTTTGTTTAGTTAGAAGGGTGGAAAGAAGGGGAAAAAATAAAAATACCACTCAATGTAGTAAAAAATATTATTTACATCACTCCGTTAAAAAAATGGATAATTGTCATTTAATTAATAAAGAGAAAATAAAAAGTTATGATAACATCTAATTATTTAAAATTACGGGTGCGTTTGGAATTCGTCTCAAAATGATTTTATTTTTTATATGAAAATAGAAATGAAAACGTTTTCAATCTCATACATAAATTATTTTTGAAAATGTGTTTGATAGTTTTATTAAGAGATTGTTTTCAGTATAAAAAAAAAAACTCATCAATGTATCTCTCTCTACTTGAGAGAGGAGAAAACAAAAACAAAAAATGAAAAATGACTAAAAGTCATTTTTTATTTCTCTCATATTTTACACTAAACTAAAAAATCATTTTTATTTTTATTTTTTATCTTTAATTGTGTCAAACGCCGCCGTTTTAGAATCGTTTTCATTTTTTTGTTATTGAAAAACGTTAAAAATAAAAACAAAAACTATTTTAAACACAATAAATATGTCTGCATATAAAAACATGATAGATCGTGTATTTTTCTCTAAAAAGAAATGATAGAGAATATGAAAAATAAAAAGAATCCTATAACCATGTATGCATGTTGCAGAGTTCTTGGCCATTCGGGAAGGTGTATAGTTTGCCCATCATAATGGTTATTATGATTGGCTTGTTGAATCTGACGCAATCACTGTAGTTCAATTGATCCAAGATCCTCCTGATTGAGCAATAGAGGCTAGCATTAGTTGCATTGTACTTAATGATATTATTCGTGATCAATAATATTCCCTACTTTATTTAAAAAAAATGTATGTAGTTGTATAGGAGGGAGTAAAAGTTGAAAGTATGGATGAATAATTATTTGTTTAATTATCATATTGTCATTTTTATTAATAGTTTTATAATGATAAAAAATGTTTATGAACTTAAACAAATGGATTTTGTGCTTCCACTAATGGAAGGATTCAATTTTATAGGTCTAAAGTAATAGTGCATCCTACCATCTCTCATTTTATTATTTATTGAACTTTAAAAGTGATATTTGTTTCCCCCAAAATATGTGATGTTAACATAAAAACTTCTTCTGTTAGGATTTATTAGTTGAAACCATTTTTATTAGGACCACATTTAGATTTTTTTAAAAGTATAATATGATAAAAAAGTATAATAATGAAAAAACAAAAGAAGAAGATGTTGTGTGGAAAAATGTGGGTGACATGTGAAACGGCGATAGCGTGACGCGTGGCCCTACTTTCCCTCAAAAGGTGGCAACCCTCGACGCCTGGAGTTCGACTACCCTTGGCGCTTGGAGTTTGACTACCCTCGACGTTGCAAAGAAAGGCACAAATTAAGGCGTCGACCAATTGTGCCGCCAAACTTATGCAACAACCTTCAGAAGGAGAGAACATAAGGCCTGCGCGACACAGACGCCGAGGAGAACGCTCTTCAGAAAAAAGCCTGACATCACAAGTTGCGTCTAAGGGTGGAGACATCTGCAATACGGGCATTAATTGCAAACCCCTAAACCGTCCTGCAGTGGGCAGTAAGAGATTACAAGAATTCACAGAGCCGTAATAGAAGACTAATTGGCTGAGTGAACAATCCAAAAGGTGATTAGTGGGCTACAGTCTTAGCCTAGAAAGATAGGCCACTCGAGTACTTCTACCTACGAAGGAAAACCACCCACGAAGAAAGCTTGAGCTATAAAAGGGGCAAAGCCCCATACACTAAAGGGACCTTTGGAGGATTAGGCGATAGAGAATATACGTGCATGTAAATTGTAAAGAGTCCAAGAGAAGTTTATCATACATAAGTGGATGTAGCTCTTCATTAACAGAGTGAACCACTATAAATCTCGTGTGTCCTTTCATTCAAGTGTTATACTCATGCTTACAAAACACAACAAACACTTCACAACTTGATTTCAAATATACCGTTAATTCTTAACCGGTAATCCAACGGGATACCAGTGGGTAACTCGGTGTAAAGTATAATAAGGAAAAAAAAGATAAAAATGTGAAAAGGATAGACAAAAAAAAAAAAAAAAAGGAAAAAGAGAGAAAAAATGGGGATTTTTTTTTTTTTTTTTTTTTTAAGAAAGAAAGAAAGAAGCTTAAAAAAAGGTGGCAATTGAAAAAGGGAAAAAAAATGGTCGAAACGGGCACCGAAACACCCAAAAAAAAAAAAACCCCCCATTCTTCATGTGGATATGGATAATGAGAAACAACAATTGTTAGGCTCGTGGTACTTAAAACATCAGCATGCATGTAATCTCAACAATTCAGAAGGAAGTCAATTGATTTACGGCATTGAAATTACGAAATCCCTAATTTTTTTTCTTTGCAGTTTTGGTTCAAGGCACGGTGAAACTCCAGGAAGAATGGGCTAAAGCTTGGATGAACTATGCAGAAAAAATGGTTTTTTTTTTTTTTTTTTTTGGGCTAATCAGTGGGGGATAATTTTTTGATGTCCGAAAGTTTATGCTACAAGCCTACAACTAATGGTGAGGATGGCTTTGAAATGCCAGTTTACAAGTTGTAGCAGTCAGAATGGCAACAACAAATCTGTTCGATGTTTGTTCTCTTGATGCAACGTCAGGATTCTTGTTGCTTTGAAACTAGTCTCAAAAGGATTCAAATTATTGTCTAGTGTTTAAAATGATGTCAAATCAATTAGGTTATGTCACATTATTTAAAAAATTAAAGAATTTTTTAACTAATTTTTCCTTGACTTGATATTTAAATTTATTAAATGCTGCATCACAATTTAATTAATTAGATATTGATTAAAATATTAAAAATTAAACGTGTGATTTGAGTCTGTTGATTGACTTTTCTTGACTAAATACTTAATTACCGTTTTCTATATTAAGTAATAAATTACTTTTGTGCACTCTAGTTTGCTATCAATCAAATATCCCGCTGATTGTACACCTAGACTAATAAAACTTTCCATCTTGATTTTTTTGAATCTAGGTGATAAATGAGGAAAGGTGACAAATACTTTTTAAAGCGTATAAATTTAAATTTTTATCTTTTATTTTTTTATTAATATCTTTTTAGTCAAATAATTATATTAGTTAAAAAATATTAATATTACCTTAAAAAAAGAGTATTAATATTATTTTAATTAAATAATTATATTAGTCAAAAGGGTATTAATCAAGAGTAAGAGGAAAAAATCTAGACCCACACACTCTAATGACATGTTTACCTACGCGTAATCAGAGTGAGTAGGATTTGGGGTGGTAGGATTTGGAATGAGGAATCAGAGTCGGGAATAATTTATTTACTTAGTGACAGGATTTGGAATCAGAGTCACTCCAAATGTCATTCATGCACTTACACCTAGAATTAGAATGAATTAGTGTGAAAGTACTAATATACCATTTAAATCAATGTTATATTTTCAATTTAAAAAATAAATTGTGTACTTATTATATTAAAATTAATTATAATTAAACTATTTAGTATAATAATAGAGTAATAAAATAATAAATATAAATTGTACAATTATTTAAAATATAAAAATAAATTGCTAAAATTTAAATAACATAAATAAAAATAAAATATAGTGTTAAAAATTTAAAATATATTATTCATTTATTAAACAAAATAAAGTACATATTTATTATATTAAAGTTAACAATAATTAGGTTAATAGTATAATATTAGGCAAATAATATAATAAATATATGATGTAATTATTATTTTTTGAATTTTATATTTATAAGTAAATTAGGGTTATAATAGTAATTTAATATTAATATCATGAATGGGAATCTCAATCTCATTGGAGTATGAGATTGTCAATCTCCATCCTTAATTTTAAATTTAAGTTGAGCTCACCAATCTCACTCAAATTTAAGAATAAAAAAATATATGAGTAAATATGAGATTGACTCTCGTATCTCAATCTTGATAAGTAAATATGAGATTCACTCTTATTTTCTCGGAATAAATTTACCTGATATTAGATGAACAAAGCAATCTTCTTTTAAGACTTCTTGAAGCCGAGCATGAAAGGAGTTGGGCCAATTCATTGAGTTTATGGCCCAAAAGTGTTGAAGTTGACTTACTACTTGCAATGGAAGCCAAGTTTTGGGCAAATGACCCCGTTCCCCACAATACACCGACCCACCGAGCGAAGCGGTAAATGGCCAGAAGAAGCAACGGACGATATATATCAACATTAATTCAAAGAAAATTAGGCGTCATATATTTTTATATACCTTTAGATCTATGCCACAATTTTATTTTGGTTCTAATTTATGTCAGTTTTATTGACCTTTAACGAGTTCATTTGTATGGTACAAATTCGAAACTCTATATCCATGACATAAACATGAAAACAATGAGAACGTGTCCCTTACAACATAAGCAGTTGTTCATTTAAAGTGATGACGTATTTTAAGGACTTGTTTAGTTACGTTTTCAAATGGTTTTCTTTTGAATATGAAGATGAAAATGAATATTTTTTAGAAACATTATTAGACTATTTCTGAAATTGCATTTGTATATTTCTCACTGAAATCTCACACACTACATAGTACATTCCACCGAGCATTGCTCTTGAAACCACTCAGACATTGTACTCATTGGTGCACTTTAATTTGTTTCAAGCCCAACTTTAGGTTTTAAAAAAGAGCATCTCTAAGGCAGATTTCTAAATTTTAATTAAAATAGTTAGAAAACTATTTTAGCTAATAATTTTTTAATAAGTCACTCTAATTATATTTTATATTTTAACAAAACATAGATTATTTTAAAAAAAATTTGAGTTTAAAATATAAATAACTTTTTTTAAACTTTTATTTTATGTCAAAATAAAAAATAAAATAATTAGTCATTTCTTACTAGTTATATTAGCTAGTGAAAAATCTTTTAGCTAAAATAGCTAACTATTTAGCTAATAATTAAAGTTGAGAAAAGTTAAAAAAAAAAAGTTAAATCATTAATTATTTTAACTAAAAATATAAAATGACTAACATGGTTTGAATTCTCTAACAGTGCAATCTTCATTACGCTCTCCGTTAAATTCACAAAAACAAAAACAAAAAAACATCGCATTCAACTGATTTTTTTTGTGTCCCGCTTTGTTTAAAAAAAAAAAATGAGGTGCTAATATTTTTGTGGAGGTACTACAACTTCATGTTTTATGAGTTTCACATGCATTTTAATCAACAATCTGAACGGGTGAGACGAAAAGAAACTATATTGAAATAAAATTATTGGGGGCTCCATAGTTGTACGCCAGCACGTTGCTTGCTTCCTCAACTGCTTTTATAGTTTCCCCAAATGTTTTGTTTTGTTTTTTTTTTTGGTTGGGCTTAGGGGATTAATCACTAAATAAAGAGACATTTAGTTCATTAATTAAAATCACGTGATTAGAATTATTTTTTATTTACTTGTATTTTTTGTGAGAGAAAATACTATAATAAACTATGAACCATGATTCAAATCATGGTTTAAATTCTCCAACCAAACATCCCCTAAATACTTTTCAAGAAAAAAAGAGCTTCTTAATAAGATTAAAAAAAATAAACTATTAATTTTTTATTTTTAATCCTCAAATTTATATAAAAAAATTATATATTTACATATTTTTTTAAATTTAATATTATTTTTATTTAATTCAACAGTTTTAACTGAGAGCATCCTAAAAAAGCTCCAATGAATATATACTAGTAAGTTCAGCAAATAATTAAAAAAGGAAAAAAAAAGTGAATACTAAGAAAATATTGAATGCTCTTATAGGCCTTACAAGTTACAACATAGCATTAAAAGAGCAACGCGGCTTCGGGTCGCCGCAGAGCACGGACAACTGTACCAACAACAAGCCCAGCTGCTTTTAGCTTCACACGCAGCTTCCCAACAACCCACCCACCACTTAAAATTTAACACGTGTACCCTTGTTTCTCCCAAGAAAGTAGGTAATCTCAGATCTCATCTTTCTCGTACCCCCAACTTCAATTCAATTGCCTTTCTCCGCGGTTAGCCGGCCTGTCCACTTCACCGGCCACCGGGAAATTTTCCCGGCGAAGGGAAATTACATAAACGCCCTCTTACTTGTTTGAAAGAATATGTCGTCGTTTCCACTGCTTTATTCCTTTTTTCTCTTTGTTTCAAATGCTTCTTAGGAAGTGACTTAAAAAAATGTCTCCAATTAGAAAAAAGATATATTCCACGATAAGCAATGTTATCCCAAGGCTTTTCCTTTCCGTGCATTGTTAAATGTCAATGCTGTCGAAATTAAAACATAAAAAAATAATTTTGCACTACCCACTATCTCACATTTCGTGAAGGCAAAGTTTCATTAATGTGTGTGTGTGTGTGTGTGTTTTTTTTTTATTTTTTATAATTCATTAATGGAGCTATTCCCTTCGTTTATAGCACTTACTATTGACGGCATGTATTTAATATTTCCTCTAGACCCGTGTTTTTCAATTTTGATATAATCAAAACTAAAGCATGTCTTTTGGCATGATAATTTGATTGAATTTTTCTTTTCCTTTTTTTTTTGTTAAAAGAAAAAAAAAAAAAAAAAAAAAAAAAACTCGCTGTGTGTGGTGACTAGAGAGAAACGTATTTGCCAACTGTAAATACTGCATGGAACGAAGTAAAAAAGCAGAGGGAACCATGAATCATAATGACTCTATTTTGTATAGTTTGGCTGTCATTAGCTGGAGGGATAAATTCTCCCATCGTCTACTTGTCTCAACAAAATTTACATTTCCCGATATGGAAGGAAAATTTCCCAGAATCCCAAAACCCAAAACAAGAAGAAGAAAAACACTCTCTCAAAAGGGAGCCAAAAGTACCCATAGGATGATAAAAAAAACAAACTTAAAAAACGGATGAACAAAAACCGCTAACCAGCTGATCATCACTGGTTTTCCGCATCATGATCCAGAGCCTGATGATCACGGTGATGATCATGATCATGATCAACATCAGTACTGATCTCCTCCTCTTCTTTCTTAACTTTCTCATCGGAATTCTCCTTCTCTCCCTTCTCTCCTTCTCTGTTCTCAATCTCCTTCCCATTTCCGTCGCCAAAAGAGGAGACTTTAGCGCAAACTGGGGTGGCCAAAAAGGTGGGGTTCTCGTCGCCAGCCATAATGACCAAAATCTTCTCCTCGTAAACCTTCAGAGACTTATCGGCGGAATCCGCCGCGTCATCCTTCTCAGCTCCGGCGCCGCTCTCGATGTCTCTGTTCTGGCCTTCCGATCTGTCGGCTTCCATTTGGCCGGTGAGCCTCCAGTAAGAGCAGGCCAATATCAGCAGCGCGAAGGCGATCAGCCCTAGCATCGCCGCCAGTCCTCCGAAGAGGTACGGCACCGGCGAGTGCCACGGCGACCGCTGACCCGCCGCCGCCGCGCTCGGCGCTAACGTGTTGGCCTCTTTGCTTTGCGCGGTTGAGACGGCCATGGCAGTAGTAATGGTTCTCATTTTAAAGTTTTGCTTTTGAATTGAGTTGTCAAAAAAAGGGTTTTTTTTTTTTTCCTGGTGGGTTTAGAAAGGGAAGAGAGAAATGAAGAAGAAGAAGAAGACTGTGATTTTTGGAGCTTGGGGAGAGAAAGATGGTGGAGCGGGAATTTATAGCGGGGGAAAGTGAGTGCGCGTGAGTGAGATAAGAGTGGCTTTTTTTTTTTTTTTTTTCCTCGCTTTTTTTTTTTTTTTTTTTTTTTTTTCTTTTTTTCTCTTTTTGTTAAAGGAAAATAATTTAAAAGACGCACGTAAATATAATTAAGTAGAATTATTGGGTTCACGGACTTGGCCGTGTTTTGCTGTTGAGAGAGCACCAAAAAGAGGGCAGAACCCTTAAATCTTGGATCCTCTGCGTTAAGAAGCTTTCATCTACCGGTGAGCTTGTGGGGCTAAGCGTCTTAAAGCGAATAATTGGGATGGGCCTACATTGGACATGACCAATAGAGTGTCGTTACGTGGATGGAAAGATATCTGACTTATATTTTAGTTCGTTGGAATCAAATGGGCCCTTTTGGGAACTGTTGTTTGGACCATTTATCACGATAAAGGTACAAAAAAATGTACCTGTATTTTATTTTTTTTTTAAAAACTATACCCTGTATTTTCAAGCAAAAAAAAAAAAAAACTGTACTCTGTATTTGGGTCCAAATGTTTGCTATTCTTTTCGTCTTTTCGCTAGTGTTCATTACAATATTTCTTCAAATGAATTCGAGTGTTATATAATTCAATTGGAGAAAATACTTTTTTACTATTGCTAGGGTTCAATTTTATGTGAACACTTTTTTTTATATTATTATTATAATGTCAAAAAATTTAAATTGATTATGCAAGGGGTGATTTCTGAGGCTCGGACTAGAAATCATTTTCCCAATTTGAATAATGGTCGATTGGAGGGCATATAATTATATAGATGATTAATTTTAAAAATTCCTCTCGAATTATGATCATTTTAACACTTTATTTTTTAAATTTTAAAAAGTAACATTCGTTCCTCCTGAATTTTGTTCCGTTAACAAGTTTTATCATTTTGTTACAATGAGTGACGAAAATCGTCACGTGTCAAGTACATGACCCATCTGATGAGGATATTATCGTAAATTAACCTGTAAAACCTAGGTTATTAAAAAACTCAAATGTGTTAAAAAACCATTTTAACATGAAGACCAATCTCCCACAGATCAAAACCAATATCAGAACCTCTCATTTTGAAAGCTTAGGTTTTGACAGAAAAACGAAAGGAAATCCATGGCCGAAGAGTTCGTTGTTGGCTCTACAAATAGCGTTCCCATGGATGCCACCGCCGCCGCCAAAGCCCCCAACTCTATCTCCGCCATCATCCCCGGCTGGTTTTCCGAGATTAGCCCAATGTGGCCTGGTTTATTTTCTCTCTCTCTCTATCATATCTCCTCTGTTTGGTTTGACGGGTGAGAAATTGCAGGAAAATGAGGCGCAATGTTTGAGTATTTCATTTGTTCTTTAATCATATATATGGTTTTTTCAGAAGCTCAAGACATTAGTTTTTTGGGTTTGTATGATTGGTTTGTGTATAATATTCATGTGTGGAGCTCCTTTATATGCAGGGGAGGCACACTCCTTGAAGGTGGAGAAGATCTCACGATCTTCCATTTTTTTTGACGTAATGATAACAATGAAAGCAAAAATAAAAATAAAAAAACGAAAATGAAAAGAGTAAAGAATTATATATAATTTAAAAATAAGGAATTATATGATTAAGAGGGCATAAATGTAATTGCACTTTTAATTCTCACTAAATAAGTGACAAGTGACAATTTCGTCACTCATTGTAACAGAGGGTAAAACTTGTTAACGAAATAAAGTTTTAAAAGAACGGATGTTACTTTTTAAAATTTGAAGTGTAAAGTGTTAAAAGGGTTACAAGGAAATTTTTGAAATTAATCCTTATACATATATAATATTTTAACTGATATTGGAGGACTTCACTTTCATAATGTGCTCGCTTGGTGATAAATGAAATTGTGATCTCTTGCACAAATGAGATATATCGATTTGTCTCTTACGGATCAGACAGTAATTTCTAGAGCACAGTGAATGTTTAAAGAAAATGATTAGCAAATAGCAACAATTCTTTATTATCTATAATCTTGCTTTTTCAGATATAGCTTTGGATGCTTCATTTATTATTCTAAACCTCCACTAGACTAATGGATTTTTTTTTTTTCTCTCTAGAAGGGATTGTTTTGTGGGGGTGACGTATAACATGTTCACCTTGATCATAAAAAGGGCAAACTTAACCAAATTCGAGGAGTCACTATATATATATATATATATAT